TGTTCGCTGCCCTGAGTCCCTCCCGGAGAAGGGCGGCATACAAATAAACTAAATCTTAATCTTAATCCTGTGCAAATGAGAAAGATTTTGGAAAGCCAACAAAACTTCCAAAAGGGAGAATTGTTTAGGTTGCAGAATCTTCCTGTAACTGGAGCAGAGGTGAACAGACTGGGGCCATTTCCTTGGAGGGAGGGAAGCATACAGGGAATGTCCCTTATTCTGGGATGTGAAAGATGACTTAAATCAGTGATGGTGAACCTTTTCAGCACCGAGTGCCAAAACTGCAACGCACACGTGCACTAGAGCACCAGAAACCCAAAGACCAGCTGGCCAGGGCGCATGCGCACACCAGAAACCAGAAAAGCAGCTGGCAACAGCACACATGCCCTGCATGCCACCTTTGGCACGTGTGCCATAGATTAGCTATCACAGACTTAGATTCACCACAAATACCGTAATCGAGGGAGAGGAGTTTTCCTCACGTCTTCTTTTTTTACATGTGTGGCGAGGGACCTCTTAAAACAGGGATTGTCACACCATTGATGGAATACAATAGCTAATATGACTAACAGTTTAGGAAAGTAATGAAGATTCTTTTTCCCCTTGACAATGGAAGAAGAAATGATGGAGCTGGCACGAGATGGCTAATTGATGATTGTGCATTATTGTTACAAATGGTCATTTTGTTTTTAGTGTCCTATGTTTTTTTAAAAAATTGCTGCCCATAGTTAATATTCATTTAGTGACCGTTCAAAGTTATAATGGCACTGAAAAGGTGACTTATGGCCATTCTTCACACCTATGAAGAAAGATCCAACCTACAATTAAGGAGAAATTTCCTGTCAGTGAGAACATTTAATTAGTAAAACCGGTTTGCCTCCACAGGTTTTGGGTGCTTCAGCACTGAAGGTTCTTAAGAAGAGATTGGATAGCCATTATTCTAGAATGGTATAGGACCAGGATGGCAAACCTATGGCACGTGTGCCATAGGCGGCAGGTGGAGCCATTTGTCAGGGCACGCGCTGGCCAACTGAGTTCAGCTTTTTTTAAAGCCATTCTTCGCCCTCCTATAAAGCCTCTGGAGCCTGGGGAGGGTGAAAAGAGCCCCCTCCCCTGAGGCCCTCCGGAGACTTCAGGAGCTTCCCTGAAACCTCCGGAGCGCAAAAAAATGGCCCTATGGGCAAACTGGAAGTTCGGGAGCGGAGTTCCGGTTTGCTCGTATGGTCGGTTTAAGCCCTCCGGAGGCTTCAGGGACCTTCAGGAGGTTTCCCTGAAGCCTCCGGAGGTCTAAAAACAGCCCTATGAGCAAACCGGAAGTGACTTCCGGTTTGCTCGTAGGGTCGTTTTTTACTGTCCCTGAAGCCTCCGGAGGCCCTCCGGGAGGGCAAGGGAGACTGTTTTTGCCCTCCCCAGGCTCCTATAAAGCCTCTGGAGCCTGGGAAGGGCGAAAAAAGCATGCAAAAAATGGGGGGTTGCGCCTCTCATGCGCACTGGGGGGGTCCACAGTGGGTGCAGCACGCCCACGCACGACCCCCCTGCACTCCCCCCACTTATGGCACGTGAGCCAAAAAAAGGTTTACCATCGCTGGTATAGGATCTCTTGCCATGTGCAAGAGTTGGATTAAAAGACCTCCAAGGTCCCTTCCAATCCTATTCTGTGTTCTCTATCCCAGAGATAGAAACTGGCAAGCAACCACCAGACAATTACAGTATATCACAGAAGGGAGTACACCCCCTCACATTTTGTAAATATTTAAGCATATCTTTTCATGTGACAACACTGAAGAAATGACACTTGGCTACAATGTAAAGTAGTGAATACGCAGCTTGTATAAACAAGCACAGTGTAAATGTGCTGTCCCCTCAAAATAACACAACACACAGCCATTAATGTCTAAACTGCCGGCAACAAAACTGAGTCCATCACTTTCTCACTTTTTATGTCAGGGTAACTGATGCTGTCTTCAATTTTCTCCTGGTCTGGTATTACTGCACGCTGACAATTCGAGAGAGCATCTTGATCAACAATGGTTCTAAGTAAGTAGTGCTTCTGTCCAGGATGTCTCCTTCGTTAAGCTAAGACGGTCACATACACATTTAGCCGGGACTCCCTGAATGCTCTCTGCAAAATCATTCCTAGTCCTGCTTTAAAATTTAAAATTCTGGGGATTGAATATGGGAGCATCTCCTTAGGAATCTTGGCTTGCACATAATGCATTCAGGGGGGTGAGTCTATCTAGCATAGCACTTCCTGTTCTGACCGCAGAGATTCTTCTGCATTTTTGTGGAGAAAATCAATCCTGGGTGTTCCTTGCAATCTTAAACAAAAATAGAAGGTGGGGAGGGGGGGGAGACGTCTCCTCAAGAGGCAGCTCGGGTGTTTTCCCTAAACATACGGCCATTGGCACTGTGTGTGGTGTTCAGTGCAAGGTATTCCAGTTGCTATTGCCCTTGAACCTTTCAAAGAGAGCTCCCAAGCATTGCCTTACTACAGTGATTCCCAAACTTGGCAACTTTAAGACTTGTGGACTTCAACTCCCAGAATTCTCCAGCCAGCTCTGCTGGCTG